TATTCGCGTGACGTGACTAGTGATTGTTCGTGTGAATGGGAGTGGGGTGACCAGGCCCCCAGATATCAGGATTTTTTCCCTGATTTTGCTTTTTTTCAGGGTGTTCGTTTGTACTGACCCTGATGAGAAAGTTGTAGCGTATGGACCCTGATTTTTCAGTGTTTGTTTAGCTGTGGACCCTGATTTTTTAGAGTGTATAGGCTTATGCACACTGACGCGTCAGCAGCATATCGAAGAGTGACACTGAAACAAAATCTTGCGCAATTTCGGGAAGTTTGTGCAAGGACAGGCCGTGCCATCCCCCCCCCCGGTCCGTCAATCACGGGGGTGAATGTTCAACGCATCTGAACCAAGTTGGGCAGCATCTGAATTGCTGCCGCGCTGTCGACAGCGTTCACCATACTTGCCCGCCAATTGGTCCTTTACGAAACATGCGTACGCCTACCAATTGGGGTCGGTCGCTCAGGTAGATGCTTAGTGCGGCAAAGTTGTCAACAAATGTGGCCTTGCAAAGGTGCTCTCACCTCCTGTCAAGCTGTCGTTGGGCCATCGTCTGCCTCACTGGAAAGTGCGTATGTGGTTGTCTTCACACAGCAGCTCAATCGTTCTCACCAGGACAGCGATGTTCGCACTAGGTTTTTCCCTGCACGTCCCTATCTCTGCCTAGTTTGCCCCACTGTACTGGTGACGATACACCAGGTCTGCCCCCATGGAGGGGGACGAAATGGCATCTGCCAACTTCGAGGCAGAGGCCAATCTGCCTGGCCAAGTTTCTCGCACTACACTAGATTTCATCCTGAACACGCTCACGCCGCCCCCACCTAGAATCCAATCTCGTGCCGCTCTTCCCGTAACTGCCGCTTCTGTTTCACTACCCTCACCTAAGCCTCCTGCTGCGGCATCGAACTCTAGCCCGCCCGAATCTGTCGACGAGTCTCAGCAAGACGCGGATCCGCTGCCTGTTGTGCGTTTGTGAGATAGTGGCCCTGTGAACTCTGCACCGCCCCCACCCTCCCCGCTTCCCTCTCCCGTGTAGATCTGCACTGGAGATGAGGAGGACGCCACTAACATCAGACCTGCCAACTGTGAGAAGGACTCCCCAGCCATGCCGCCGTCCAACAAGCTGGAGTCTAGCGCCGGCGCAGCCAAGCGTGCTGTGCGCTACCATCAGGAGACGCTGCCGTTCGCCAAAGCTCCGGCTGTGACTGCGTCTACCGTCGCTGCAAAAGATACAAGCCCTTCCTCTGCTCCAGTTTCCACTACTATCAATTTGAATGAGCTGCTGTATGTGGATGCTCATGAAAAGTACAAGTCGCTCTGGCAAGATCGCTATCCATGGCTTGTACTGACTAAAACTGTTGTTGGTTTCCCAGCTTTCAAGTGCAGCGTGTGTTCCGAACACGCAGGTGACAACGGAAAGACTGGTCGAGCTGGCGAGGGGGCAAAGGACGTTCAATCCCAGGCTTTCAAGCGGCACGCTGCGACGAACAAGCACAAGCTGGCTACGCAGAGCCAGGCGGACTTGTTGCAGCAGGCGACGCGACAGCCCCGCATCGACGAGCACCCCGTGGCTGTCGACTTGGAGAGAGAGCGTGTGACAGCCCTCCTCGACGCTTTGCTGTTCAACGCGCAGAGCAACAAACCCATGGAGGGTTGGGTTCGGCTCGTCAAATACCTGACAACGAAGGGGGTCCAAGGCTTCCCTAAGAAAGCGTATGGGACATACTACAATTCGTAAGTGCCCTTTTTTTATCCAGGCACATTCATTGCTTGGTTTGTTTTGTGTTGAATAATCACTCAGAACTACAGGTTTGATCTCTTGTAATGTGGCAGGTATGGTTTTGGCGAGTTTACACAAGCTACTGCGACTTGGCTGCAAACAACACAGCTCGACCACATTCGGGCAAGCCCTTACCTCGGCCTCAGCATTGACGAGTCGACGGATAGGTGTCGCGGGAAGCACCTGATTGTCTACGCCACCTTCCTGCGCGAGAAGAATATAGTCACCGAGTTCTTCGCTCTACTAACCGTGGAGCAGGCGGATGCGGCGTTGCTATTGGGGCTCGTCTTCTCGCATCTGCAAGCTGTTGGTGTCGATCTGGCACGCATCACGGGCATCAGCACGGACAGAGCGGCAGTCATGATGGGAGTGCGGAGTGGAGTTGTCGCTTGCCTTCGGACACGAGTTCCCCACCTCGTGTCCTGCCACTGCATTGCGCACCGGTGAGTTATGGCTTGTTGCTCGTTTGCTCATGCTTTCCCATTCTAAACACACGGCTCGCATCACTCAGTGCTCCAGATTTGTTAAACAAAGTACACTTATCATGCTGTCCCATTCTTTGCAGAGAGGCGTTAGCTGCGAAGGATGCTACAGAGTCTTTGCCCGAGTTCGACATGATCGACGCGTTCCTTCGGTGGTTTTCCGAGTTCCTCGGACGCTCGGGACCGTGGCATTAGTTGTTTTTGGACCTGCAAGAGCTATTTGTTCAGACCTCCTTGGAGCTTCAGGGCATCCACAACGTCCGGTGGTTGTCCCGCGGTGAGGCCGTGCTGAGGTTGTTTGCTATGCTTCCTGCAGTGATCGTCATGCTTCATGAGCTGAATGATGTGGCGATGTATAAGCTTGTGACGAGCTACTTGTTTCAGTTTCTGCTGTATTTCCTTGCCGACTTGCTTGAGCAGCTGAGCGTCTTGAACAAGACGTTCCAGCAGCGTGAGGTGCGTTTCTTTAAACCTCGTATGCCCTCCTGTTGATGTGTACGTTACCCGTGTCTGTTGATGTGCAGATTCTAATATCCCCTTTTTGTTACTTGCAGCTCGACATTGCCGGCGTCCAGTCCCAGATCGCCCGCACCACCAGCTTCATCGAATCTCGCTACGTCGACTGCGGCGACGATTTCGGTGGAGGGCTGAGCGAGCGGCTCTCCAAGTTCCTGAGGCTCCACGTCGAAGGTGGAACCCGCCACGTGATGGTGCAAGGCATGGACGCTGACGGGCGGCCGGTCACCCACACGTACCTACTTCACGATGACCCGCTGGAAGGCTACGAGGGGCCGTTCACCCACAACCGTGGCGTGGACCTTTGTACTGCCATGGCGGAGGCCATGGTTCAGAGCTTACTGGATAGGCTAGGGGACCTGGACAACCTGTCGGGCTGCCGTCTCTTCATCTCTGATGGCTGGCCACCCACGAGGCAAGAGCGCAATGCCTTGTGCCTTGAAAATCTGATGTCTCAGGTCACCATGTTTAGGGTGCAGCAGGCGGACGAGATTCTGCCAAGTGCGTCTCTTTTCTATTCAACGAACCCCCCTTCCCTTCCACTTACCACCCCCCTCCCACTTGTGCTGTTTTGTTTCTCCTTTTGAGCTTGCATTGTTCAAAGTTTGTTGTGCGCTTGAACATACCTGACTTCAGAACTGTGTTTCCTCTGTGCCTCCTTGGTCGTTGTGCAGGGATTGACAAGCGCAAAGCAACCAAAGAATTGCGCAACTTTTGCCCCGTCCGTGCTGCTGCCCCCAAGACAGAGAAGGGCTTTCATGCTGGATTGACCGCGATGCTCCAGACTCCCGACTGGCAGGACGCGTACCCAAACCTTGTGAAGCTGTGGGTGGCTGTGGCTGTGTTGCCGCTGAGCACAGTCGAGTATGAAAGGGGGTTTTCCCGTCAAAACGTGATCAAGAGCTGGAACCGGGGGTCTATCAAGGATGCTCGACTTTCGGACCTGATGGCAATTTCATTGCTGGACTACGAGCCCAACTGGGAGGAGGTGGTGGCGATCTGGCGAAGCTACAAGAAGCGTCGGCCATTCTGTGTGATTGCGCGGCCCAGGAAGCAGCCGGCAAGTGGGAAGGGTAAAGAGAAGGCCGCGGAAGACGAAGTCCAATAGCACCCTGACGAAGTAGACGAGGTTGGTGTGTTGGTAGGCGAAGAGTCGGAGGACCACTAGGATGATGAGTGACTGCTGGTTTGGTGGTCGAGACTGCTGGATTGCCAGTTGTGAATGTGTCATTAAGCTAGTCAATGGTCATAGATTTGGAGTAGGTTAGGTCAGGATAGGTGCTGCTGCAGCAGAGAGAAGCTGGGAACATACTCCGATCGGGTCTGGTGCGTTTGTAGCTAGGATGCGACAGGTTTCTAGTATTCCATAATCCATTGATGGATCTGCATTCCGCACACCGTGCTGCATCTTAACTGCCAAAGTAACTAGTTTAGGATTGTGAACTAAAAGGCATTAATACCTGCGGCAACACTGATGTATCAGCAAACGGTCAGGTACCGACCCTGACAAATCAGCACAGTTTAAGCTGAAGACGCTGACGGAAAGTCTTTTTTGGAATGATGATACTGAGCAATCAGGGCGGTCCAAAACCAATCTGAGGCCCTGGGCGTGACCCTTCGGGTGACTATACGCGCGAATCTTTTGTTCGTGCGTTGACTCACTTCTGTTGACGTCATCAGGCGTGTCCTTCCATATGAGGTATCGCGCTACTAGTCTAGTCAAGGTATACTATCAGGAATGCATAAGTAAACTCGGTTGAGTATACTTCAACATATGTAAAAATATGTTTGTTGACAGCATGCTGTTCACGGGGGCTGTAACAGGTCCGAGGAAACTTCAGGGTCACCCTTTCCGCAAAGGGTGGTGAACGATTCCACTCTAGAATTCACAGGGTAAAACAGAAGCATCCTCCGAAAATGTAAGGGTAAAAGTTTACGACAGTCTGGAAAATCAGATTAACATGCACCTAGCACCCTGAAAAGCAGAGGGGACAGGGTAAATCACCCTGTTAACACATGCCCTGCATGTGGTACTGCACGGTGCCAGTGCTTGGATCGAGTTTCAGTACGGTTCGTTTTGGTTCTGATCCACCATAGGAATTCGCCTGAACATGCTCCATTGCTGCATGAAATCATCATCTAAAAAGCATAGCATTTCATGACGAGTGAGGGACGCTGCAAGGAATATATGAAAGAAACAAGACTTCACATCGCCTAGCCAAGACCTCACTGGCATGGCATGTATTATAACTATATATAACGCCACAACCGGCGGTAAACATGTGTTAGCAGGTCCATAGGGATTTCATCATAACACTTCACTAGGTTAGAGTATACTCTTACTAGCGGTAGCCCTGTTCGTTGTTCACTGGCAGCTGCCACCTTCCTTGTGCTCCACACCATAACATAGCAGCTGCGGCAGCATCAGCGCACATACAAACACACCCGTCAGCTTCCACCCTCTTCCTTCCTCACTCCTTCACACTGCTTCGGCTGTGCTCCAAGGGGAACTATGTCTGAAGATCTCTGAATACCTCCCAGCACCGCAGCATCATCAGTGCACGTACACCTCAGCGTTCATACCCTTCTCACATCCCCTCTTCACACTGCTTCGGCTTTGCTTCCTGGAACCATGTCCGAAGACTTTTGACGACCTCTTGGCACCGCAGCAGCAGTATCAGCGCACGTACACCTGAGCTTTCACCCCCTTCTTGCATTCTTTCTTCACGCTGCTTCCAAAGTAGAGCGTTTTCCCGTGCTCCTCTTTCCGAACCAAGTAGAGGTCCAAGCCAAAGAACCGCCTTGGCCCCACCGGGTCTGCTCTAGTGAAATCGCAGATGTCGTATGCCTGCTGGTTCGGGAACTGCTGCACGTCACGCATTTGCCCGAACCAGCGAAACACTGTACACACATGTGGGGAAGGGGGGAGAGGAGGGGGAGGGGAGGGAGAGGGTGGTGTTTCTATGAGAGGTTGCAGCTGTCGTATGCCTGCAGTGGTTGAGCTGCTGCACGCCACGCATCTGACCGAACCAATGAACACATGTGACTTTCGTTGACTCTCGTTGACTCTCGTTGACTTTCATCGACTCACGGAGGAAGTCCCCTGGTCGCACTGAGGGCATCTTCAGGGCGAGCAGCCCGCTGCTCCACGGGTTCACGGACGACCGGCCCGCATTCAAGCCTACCACCACGACTCGCGGCTGGGCGATGGCGGGAGAGGAAAGGAGAAAGGAGAGGGGAAAGTCAAGGTGGAGAAAGGTTAACGTGTCGAAAGTGACTGCGTGGCTGACCTGCTTGTTACAGACGGAGAATTGAAAAATCTTACAAGAAAATCACAAATGATGCAAACAAACGCAAGGGAAGGCGAACGAGGCAAAAGAATTCGAATGCAGGCGAATACATGCGAATACAGGCGGGGGAGGATCCAGGGGAGGACTGCTGCAGCTCAGCAGGAAAATTGAGAGGCTATTGAAAAATTGCGGCGCTCACCCCTGGAAATGTAGGGAAATTCGAGTTTCTTACCATTGCCTCTGTGACGCCTGATACCCTCGACAGCGCGAGAAGTGCAACGAGTAGAGTGACGTCATCGCACAGCCGCGGTTGGGAAAGCAACGAAGCGGCGATCGGATCATCGTCCAACGAGCGGGCGAATGTGATCGTTCCAGCGACGCGCGGAAGGGAGGGATGGAAGCCACGCAAATGGGTGGGATGGGAGGAAGGCAGTGAGGGAAGGGCGATGCATCATGCAACGACGGAGAGACTTGTGAGAAAGAGAGACATGTGGAATGGGATGCGCACTGGCAGGGGAATTCAAGAGAGATGATGCTCATGAGAAGTCTCTGACGCTTGCTGGTGGAAGGGAGTCAAGCAAGGTTGATTGTGAAAATCTTCAGACAACAAGTGCTTCTCGGGACGCGCGTAGGCTGATACAAGCAGCGAGAAGGCGGCGCGATACGCCTTCTTTCACGGGAATGTGGTTTGGAATCAGACTGGTGACTGATGGAGCGAAGGAGAACGGGATAGCCCTCAGCTTGAGCTTGAGCGAGTACTGTGGGATCGTGGGATGAATTGAGTGTGCAGGCTTCGCAGTGGCGGCTGGTGGATTCCTAGCGGAAACGTTTGAGCCCAAACGTGGACATGTCAGCGGTAAGCTAGCGTGCGCGGGGAAGTGTAATTGCCGTGTAACATAGTGCTGTGTCCGTAGGGCTGAGTACGGAGTTAGAGAGGAGCAGAAGCAGTGTAACATGAGACGTCTCAAAACAAGTGAGCGTGCTCCGTGTGGTGCAGTGCTATGATGAGGTGCAGTGCAGAGCTGTGGCGCTAAGTACCGGCAGTAAAGAGGAGCAGCAGCAAGACTGAAGAAACGGCGAGCTTTCCCAAAGCCTCTCCTTCGCCACATTTCCGGAGAAGATTCATCGTGAAGGATGCTTATATAGAAGAAAGTCTTCGCTTTTTCCGCGTTTAAAGCCTAGACGACGTACGACTTTCAAGGTACGCAAGCTCCACCTAAAAGCGACTCGGAGTTTCTAAACTTGACTGGCTGATTAGCGAAAAGGAAATGGAAACAAAATGGGAAAGCTAGCTAGAATGGCCTGGGCAGTAGCATTGCGCAATAGCACTTCTATGGAGATCGGTGAGCCGAAAGCTAACTGGCAAATGGTACGAACGCTACCGACCTTCAAGACCACGTGACGACGCATGAGGAAGCTTGCTGCTGGACCAAAACATCATGGCCTGCTGATACAGCAGTGGTCATCGCGGGGTTCAATTCAGAGTCACTAGGAGGGGGTGCTGCTGATGCCTGTTGATGTTTGATGTTTGAGGCGGAATTGCGCGGCTCGTCAAGACCGCGTCCTCAATTAACATTTTCTACCCGTTTTGCTCACGGCCCGGGCAACCCCGATCTCGGATAAATATTTTCTACGCGCGAGTCGGGAAATGCGAAAGTTAGGGAATTTGAAATTGTGTGAACTGTATTTGGGATTTATTGATTGCCCGTGAATTACCAGCCAATTGGACAGGCATCCGTAACAGTGCTGCCACACTTCAACAGTACTGCAAGGGGGAGATACGATTCCTACTCAGAAGGGCGCTGGCGTGCATGAATATGCAGTCGGGCGGTGTACTGTCATTGAGCGCGGCACAATAGTGGATGTTGTTGAGCGCGGCACAAACTAGAACCTTTCACGCTTGTCGAGAAACTGTCGTGGCTGCACTGTGGAATCTGGGCAGATGCAAACGACATTTACGCGAGAAAACACGAGAGTTCATGGATTCTCCTGAAGACTCATGCCCCAAAGCTCAACTTCCGCCACTAGCTAAACTCCACGCTAAGCCCTGTCATAATTTCGGGCCATCATTTCGGGCAAGGGAAACATGAGAGTTTGTGCACCACCACGAGAACTCACGAGAACCCATGCACCGTAACATCAATTCGCGCCACTACCATAAATGTACAGCCACGTCATCATGTAGCGCTAGAAACGCGGAAGGAGAGAAACTGTCTAAGCTGCCCAAAAGACCTCACGTAATAAAAAACGCATTTCCCGACTCGCGCGTAGAAAATATTTATCCGAGATCGGGGTTGCCCGGGCCGTGAGCAAAACGGGTAGAAACTTTTAATTGAGGACGCGGTCTCGACGAGCCGCGCAATTCCGCCGATGTTTGATCTTGGTGTGGCGCGACTCGATTTTGTGTTGGCGCGAATCGCGAGGGGTCTCCATCGAGCCAAAGATTTGCTGCGACTCGTGACCGTTGATGCATCAATACGCTTTTCCGAATCTCCGCTGTTGCGTGAGCCAGTAATGTGTACAAAGCCAGGCTGCATCGTATTGCTAGTTCCGTACAAACCTAGAAATCCACCTCCCAGCTTCACTTGTCATTCGCGCTACGAAACATCGCGCTACATAGACCGAGAAGCATCACCTGCGACATCGCGTACTTATAGATTACTCTTCCACCAACTCCCCGAATCTGGGAATGTGCCAGGCAGCGAGAAATATACTGTACACTTCAAACCACCTTGGAATGTCCACCACCCACCACTCTGCTCTCCACTTCAAATCGCCTTGCTTGAGATTCCTGGCCACTTCCGAACAGAAATGGCGGTCAGGTGGTGTGCCATTGCTACTGGAACTTCTCCAGGGCTTGGAGAGTCAACGCAAGGTAGACTGGTCTGGGCATGGCTTTACTAGAGGCCGCATCCACTATTTTTTCAATAGTTGTCCGAAGCTTAGAAGCATTTCGGGCGTTTAGCTCGCAAAAATAGTTCGCCCAGAAGCTCTGGGGGATAGCTCGTGCGGAGGACTAACATTCACAGCATTGAGTGGATAGCTCGCGCCGTTCGAGACGGAGCGACCGTCCTGCAGAGGCCGGTGATACGTGTCGCCTCGAGTTTCGTTGGCTCTTTTCCCGTTTCGAATAAGATAGAAAGAAACGTATTATCTCTGCATTCAGTCGTTAGCTTTTTTCTTTTTTGGGGCGGGTATTTGGCTCGTTCAGCCTAGACATGCGTGGCTGACTCAATAGGGAGGACAATATCGGTCAAGGAGCACCATTCAAACTGTACTACACTCTCAAAGGCTTCCTCGATAGCTTTCCTCCTTCACGCCCTAACCGTATACCTTTCTTACTAGCCTGCATTGCTCCTCATCCTCACACCAACTGCCCAAACTTACTCCACTTATTAGGCTATCTCTTGCAATTATTTAAACTATTGTTCCGACAATGCAGTCGCCGTCAGCCACGCGGCCTGTGACCCGTCTCCTCCCTCTCGCCTTCCTCCTCCCTCTCCTACTGACCGCCACGCCAGCCGCCTCTCACGTCTCTCAGTCACGAGACTCCTCAACTGGGTGGGAAGGCGGATTATGGTTACCACACCCAGGAGGCGTAACCAATGACCCGGCGATTCAGGTGCCGCCCAACGGCGTGACTCGCGGTGGGTTCCACGGCCGGCGCGCGCTGCTGCAAGCGTCCGCGCCGGCGTCTGAGCCTCCCCTCGCTGATACCGCGGATCCCTCTTCCTCCGCTCCCGCATCCTCCGCGGCTTTAGCCCCTTCTTCCGCGTTCCCTTCCGCTCCCCCTTCCGCCTCCCCTTCCGACTCCCCTACCGCCTCCCCTTCCGACTCCCCTACCGCCTCCCCTTCCGCTTCCCCGCCTGCCTCCCCTTCCGCTCCTTCCGCCCCGCCATCCTCCCCATCACCTGGGGGGGTTTCAAGCGGAACGCCCTTGGAGACCCCCGCGACCCCCGCTCCCCCGTCTGGCGCAGGCGGGGGGAACGCGGGGGGAGGCGCGGGGAATGTGGGGGATGGGGGGGCGACATTCGACATGCCCGGGCCTGTGTGCGAGGGGCAGTGCTGCTCCAACGCGGCTCCAGAAATCCCGGACGGAATGCCCATGATGACGTCATCATGGCTTAGCAGCCAGCTGGCTCACGGCGCTAAGGTGGGGGGAGAGGGTGAATGGGGGAGAGAAAAGGGGGGGGGAGGCGTGAAGCGGGTGGCGCTAGGGTAGGGGAGAGGATAAATGGGGGAGCGAAGAGGGGGGGGGGGGGGGGGGGCTAAGGTAGGGGGAGGGAATAAATGGGGGAGAGAGATGGGGGGGAGGGGGGGAACATGGGGCAGGGGGAAGCGGAGGAGAGAAGATAAGGAAATAGTGGGGCGAAGGAGGGGATCATGGGGGAGGGCCCCAGGGGGAAGCGGGGAAGGGGAACATGGGGAAGTACGGGGAGGCAGCGAAGAGGGGAAGGGGTGTAGCGTGTGGGAGGCGGATGGTGTTGGTTTGAATGTCTGGATTGTGGTGGAGAGCTGGTCCAACGTCCGGATTCTCGTGGAGAGCTGCCTTTCAGAACCCTCCTCCCCTCTCCGCCCCTCACCCCCCCCTTTCCCCTCTCCTTCCCCACCCTTCTTATCCTCCTTACATCCACGTGCGCCACCGGCGCTGTGACTACCGGGGGGGAGTCCTCTTGATTGACTCATCCGAAGGACACCGTTTCTCTTCTACTTCCCCCGTGCATTCTCCCGCTCTGCCGCCCCTCCCTACCCGCAGATCCACGTGCGCCACCAGTGCTGCGGCTTCTGGTGGACAGCAGCGTTTGAGAGGTCAGGAGACCACCCTGCCTTCCTCCTCCCGCCATTGCTCTTGTCCATCCCCCCAGATCCACGTGCGCCACCAGTGCTGCGGCTTCTGGTGGACAGCATTGTTTGAGCGGTCCCAGCCCAGCCTCTTCACCCACCTTCTCCCCTTCCCCCCTCCCTCCCTCCCCACTTCCCCCCTCTCCCCTCTTTTCCCCCTTCCCCCCCCCTCCCCCCCACACCCAGATCCACGTGCGCCACCAGTGCTGCGGTTTCTGGTGGCGAGCAGCAGACGGGAAGACGTGGAACGGCAGTGTGGCGACCAGCAGTGACTTCTCGCAGCCGGACGTGTCCCAGGCGCTCACTGTCATTCGAGTCAGCGCCACCACGGTGAGTGTGTGTGCGCGCTTGTATGTGCGTCGGATAGAGAGAGGGAAGGGGGGGGACTTAGCATGGCAGAGTGGCGACCAGCAGTGACTTCTCGCAGCCGGACGTGTCCCAGGCGCTCACTGGGATCCGAATTGAATTGGTACTTGAGAATCCTCAAGTACCAAGTCAACTCATGTGTCTCAGGCGCTCTCTGTGATCCGAGTCACTGCCACCACAGTAAGTGTGGGTGGTGGAGGGATAGTGCGACCACCAGCAGTGCCACTGACCCCTCTCACGCTGCAGGCCACCCTCTTCTCCTTCTCCCCATCCCTTCACAGATCAAGCTGCAGACCCCCACCCACGTACCCCCTCACCACTGGCACACACTTGCATTGCATTAACCACTGTTGTAACCCTCCTCTACTTTGCCTGTCGGTCTGTCTTTCCCTCTCCTCCCCTTGCTCTTACCCCCTTCCCCTCCCAGATCAAGCTGCAGACCCCCAGCAGCACGTTCCTCTGCAAGGCCCCGCCCTCCCCGCCCAACGCCACGTACCCGAGAGGCGTGCTGGCCACCACTGCGGAAGCCACCGACCCGCTCACCACCTTCACCGTCATCCCCATCCCTGGCTCCCGCAGGGGGGGCAACAGCAGCACTGATGCTGCTGCTGCTGGTACAGGGGCTAACAGCAGCACTGGTAGCAGCAGCAACAGCAGCAGCAGCAGCAGCAGCAGCGATTATTTAGGGTTAATTGCCCTGGCGAGTGCGGACGGGTATTACCTGTCCATGGGGGAGGTGGCACCTGAGTTTCTCGATGTGGTAACCGAAGGGGATACTGCAGCGGGGGCGGGCGACGAAGAGTGGCTAGATGTGCGCGAGGTGATGACGGTGCCCGCCGTCCGCGGCGTGAACCTGGGCGGCTGGCTGGTCGGCGAGCAGTGGATGAATCCGAAAGCGTTCGCGTACATGCCGTGGGGGGATGGCACGAGGGTGAGTGTGGTGTGGGGCACATGGAAGCAGTTAGGTTTGGACATGGTATGGGGCACATACCATGCAATACGTTTAAGTCTGAAAGCGTTTGAGCACTTTCCATTGGGGGGGATGTGGCCAGATAGGATAGACTCCAGTGACTGTGACTGACAGGGGCGTTTTGACACAGGGGCAACACGACACGACAGGTACATGAACTCGCCGACCCACTTCCCAGTTCTCCCCATAGTCCCCGGCATCTTACTCAGGTGACCTTCTCTTCCAATGGGACCAGTACCTTGGTGCAGTCAGCACAGTGAGCCCCCACGAACCCACGTGTTAGTAATTTCGTTGTGAGGCGTCTCAAAACGAAATTACTAACACGCTGCAGTCAGCACAGCACAGTGCATCCTTTGACTCACTCCGCCTTCTTGCCGCACCATGTCTCTGCGTGTGCCCCAGGTCAAATTACAGTCAACCTTAACGGACCTCTACATCTGTGCAGTCGGCACAGGCACAGACAATAATCCACCCTTTGACTCACGGGAACCTTGTGCCCCCTTCCTTTCTCTCTCTGCGCGCCGCAGGTGACATTCCAGTCCACCACAACGGACCTGTACATCAGTGCTGTCAGCACAGGCACAGAGGCCACTGTAAGCTCAACTCTGTTTTTCCTTCTCTCTCTTTGCGCATTGTCCCTTGCATTCCTCTTCCTTGCTCTTTTCCCTTCCTTTTTTGCACTTCATTCGGTTCCTGCAGTTCTAAGTGAAATGTTTATCACACATGGCATTCCGCCACGCCCTGCCATTCCGCCATGCCCTGCCATTCCGCCACGCCCTGCCATTCCGCCACGCCCTGCCATTCCGCCACGCCCTGCCATTCCGCCACGCCCTGCCATTCCACCACGCCCTGCCATTCCGCCGTGCCCTTCACTCCCTTCCATTCCCTCACCCTCTTGCCCTCTCCTTCCTCCCCACCCCAACAATAACCATCCACACTGTTTCTCGCCAGTTGGCGTGTAACGCCCCTGCGGTAACTGTGCTACAGTACTTCCAGCTCCTCACAGTGCCAGGGGCGGCAGAGAACGTTCGTCAGGTGGGATTTCTGTTGCCTTGAAATGGAAACTCTGTTGCCGTCAGGTGTGATCTCTGTTGCCGCCAATTGTGCTGTCTGTTGCCATCAGGTGTACTTTGCCGCCAATTGTGCTCTCTGTTGCCGTCAGGTGGGCTATTTGCTGCCTTCTGGTAGGCTCGCGAGGTGTTTCTTCAATGGACTAAATTCAACCCCTTTCCTGTATCCACCTCTCTTTCCACTCCTTGTCCCCCACCCATCGGCGGGAGTATGCCACATGGGGCAGAACTGGGGAGTGTGCAGTACAGTGTACACGGGGTCTGCTTTTGAGTCGACTCAAAGGCAGGCTCATTACACGGTTTTTACAGTGTACACGGGGTCTGCTTTTGAGTCGACTCAAAGGCAGGCTCATTACACGGTTTTTACAGTGTACACGGGGTCAACCACTGTATGGACCAAGGACAATGAGGCTGGTGTAAGTCAACACTCCCCCCCCTCTTCCACTCACACACGTCACAGGTGGTGGGTCAGATGGGGCAGTACCGGGGAGTAGTATACACGGGGTCAACCGCTGTATGGACCAAGGACAGCAGCAGGGCAGCAGCAGCGACTTCACGGTCCTCCTTCTACTTCTGTCTCTCCTTGTTTCTTATCTTGCTCTCCCTTTTTACGCACCCACTTGTCACAGGTGCTGGGCCAGATGGGGCAGTGCTGGGGATTGCAGTCCGGCTCAACCACTGTATGGACCAAGGACAATTAGCCATAGGGCAGCAGCAGCGGCTTCACGTTTCTGCTACTCCCGTGCCCCTTCTTTCCTCCCGCGCCCCTTCTTTCCTCCCGCGCCCCTTCTTTCCTCCCGCGCCCCTTCTTTCCTCCCGCGCCCCTTCTTTCCTCCCGCGCCCCTTCTTTCCTCCCGCGCCCCTTCTTTCCTCCCGCGCCCCTTCTTTCCTCCGCTGCTTGCTCCCATCCCCACACCACAGGTGGTGGGTCAGATGGGGCAGTACTGGGGCGTGTACACGGGGTCGACCACCGTGTGGACCAAGGACAACGAGCCGCAGGGCAGCAGCAGTGGCTTCACGCTCCTGCTGCTGGGAGCGGAGCTCAACCGAGCCACGCCCATGAACGACTCACTGAGGGTCATGATCCGGGCCCCCAACGGCCAGCTGCTGCAGGTGTGTGCTGTGAAAAAACTTTTGAGTCGACTCAAAAGCAATGCTGCAGGTGTGTGCCGGATGCCTCCTGAGGAGGACTTGCATATTTTCCCTCCCTCCTTGGCTCACTTCCCACACACAGGCTCACAAGGATAGCACCACAACAGCAGACTGCAACGCAGATGCCACTGATGTACCTGCTGCACTCTCTCCCCTCCCTGCTCATCCCCTCCTTCCGCTCTTTGTCCCTCCCCTCTCAGGCACATGAGGACATTGCCATAACAACAGCAGACTACAGTGCGCATGCAATCAGTGCAACTCTCTGGTCCGGGCCTGCCATGTTCCTCCTCCCTCCTTCCAAGTCTTCTCCTCCCTTCCCTATCCGCCCCTGCCATTCTGCGCAGGCTCACGAGGACGGCACCATAACAGCGGACTACAGCGCGGATGCCACCAATGCCACGCTCTGGTCAGGACCGGCTGTGTTCTTCATGGACCTGGTGAGCGGGGCTTGGCTGGGGGCTCACCTCACGTGTCCTCGCTTCAGCCGTCCTTTGTTTAGGTGCCTCAGCGGCGCAGGTGCCACCAATGCCACGCTCTGGTCGGGACGGGCTGTGTTCTTCATGGACCTGGTGAGCGGGGCTTCCTTGTGGCTCAGCCTATCTGACAGTTGTGGGGTTTGCCGTAAGCACCTAAGAGGAATTCGGCTCTCACACATGAAGTGCAGCTTCTTGTTGGTTTGAGGCGTCTCAAGAGTGGTCAGCAGAACCGGCAGTTTTCTTCATGCACCTGTTAGTGAGTGCTTGGGGCTCACTTGAAGTGCCGTATACTGACTAGTGCCTCGCTCACTCACATCAGTGAGGCTTACCTGGTGCCATCTTCTTCATGCACCTATCAGCCTATCAGCCTATCAGCCTATCAGCCTATCAGCCCATCAGCCTATCAGCCCATCAGCCCATCAGCCTATCAGCCCATCAGCCTATCAGCCCATCAGCCCATCAGCCCATCAGCCTATCAGCCTATCAGCCTATCAGCCTATCAGCCTATCAACCCATCAGCCCATCAGCCTATCAGCCTATCAGCCTATCAGCCCATCAGCCTATCAGCCTATCAGCCTGCTCATGCTTGCTTGCTTGGGGTTCAGCCTATCAGTTGTGCGTTGCTCTAAGCACCTCACAAACAACTCGGCGCACATCAAGTGCAGTTTTGTTTTGTTTGGTTGAGGCGCCTCAAAAGTGGCCGTCGAGAGCCCGGGACTTGCCGTCCTCTCCATGAACGTGATGAGGCTCGCTTGTGGCTCACATGAAGTGTCGTTAGTGACTGGCTCATCTCCTGTTTTGCAGTGACAGGCGCATCGCCTGTTGTTGAGTGACAAATGCATCACGTGAAGTGTTTTTTTTAGTGGCTATGTCATCCCCTTCGTCTCCCTCTCCCCTCTCTCCCTCTCCTGCACCCCCTCCCTCTCTCAATTGGTCCATGTTTTGCTGAATCCTTAGGTACAGACTAGGCAGGCACGGTGTATAAGGTGAGTACAAAGCCGTCAGGGTCAGCAACCAGGGCGACCTCAGGGAGCTTCTCCAGGGGTTCCAACATGTCAACACAGGAGGGACAGGAGGGACGTGAGGGACGTGATTGTGCATTCCCCTCTCTCCCCATCTCGTCCGCCCTTTTTCCTTACCCCAGGTTAGCTCAGTCTACGGGGACTGGCAGGCAGCATACACCGCAGGGCCGGAACCAGCAGAGAGCCTCTTTGACTCGGTGCACTGGGAGGACTGGCAGGACATGAACGCCCGTCTCTTCCTCATTCTCCTCTCACTTCCCCTCTTCCCCCCCTCTTTCCTTTCACCAGATAAACTCAGTGCAGGGTGATTGGCAGGCTGCATCCACAGCAGGGCCGGATGCAGCAGAGAGCCTCTTTGACTCAGTGCACTCGAAGCTCATCACGGAGCTGGAGTGGCAGGACATGAGGGGGAAAGGGGTCAACACAGTGCGCATTCCCACCCCCTACTGGATCGCCCTGGAAGACCCCTCCTTCGCCTTCTCCTCTCCACCTGCGAGCCCTGCCGCCAATAACAGCAGCAGCAGCAGCAATACTAGTAGCACTCCTGCCGGGGCACCTGAGCTTCCGTACCCGTCTGGTGCTCTGGCCTACTTAGACTGGGCGTTTGATATGGCGGCGAAGTACGGGCTAAGAATCTGGCTAAGTGTGCACGTGGCACCCGGGTCGCAGATCGGAGAGGCGTTTTCGAGAGATGGGTTGATTCGATGGTCCGGATTGAACGTGGATCGCACGCTCGATTTCGTCCGTTGGATCGGGACCCGGTTTGGGGGGAATCCGAGCCTGTTTGGTGTGGGGCTGCTGCACGAGCCTGTAGCGCCGTCGTACTATGGAGTATTGGGTGTAGATGGGGATGAGCTGAGAGAATACTACAGGAAAGCGCATGACCTTATAAGGGAGCGGTGTGCGTGCTGCTTCGTGTCAATCGAGGGGCGCGTGGGGAAGAGCATGTGGGACGTGGCGTTTCACATGCTTGACACGTGGCACCCCAATGTGCTGTACGAAACGCACCTGTACAACGTGCTGTCGGGGATCCCGGTGGCTACCAGGAAGCTTCCTCAGCTTGCTGAGCTGGAGATTGGCGAGGAGAAGAGCAACAAGGCGACGCTTCTTGATGGGGCGCAGAGTGTGAGTGAGGTTTTGTGGTGGATGTTGCGGGTGTGGTGGGTCTGCTTGTGTTGATTGCGTATGGTGGTGGCTGTAACAAGGCGACGATTCTTGATGGGGCGCAGAGTGTGAGTGGCAGTGGTGGGAATGGTGGTGGTGGTGGTGGGTGTGATGGGTGTGGTGCAGGTCATGAGTGTGGTGGGTGTGGTAGGTGTGTGATGTCATGGTTGTCATGGTTGTCATGGTTGTGTGAAAGTGAGTGACTGTGGCAATGGTTGGGAGCAATGGAACCAGGCTGGGTGCATCGAGGAGGAATGCAGCACAAGTAATCAAATGCTTATGGTACATTCCTACAAGCGCACCTCGGTACTGCGTGGTGTAAATGCTTGATCTCGTGGTTTAGTGCGGTACAGCGCAGTGCGGCGCGGAGTGGGATGCGAGGTTGGTCAAGTGCAGCATGCCATTCATGCTCCCATCACTCCCATCGCTCCCACCGCTCCCACCGCTCCCATCGCTCCCATTGCTCCCACCGCTCCCACCGCTCCCACTGCTCCCATCGCTCCCACCGCTCCACCGCTCCCCGCTTCTCTTCCTCCTGTCTGTTTCTTCCACTCTCTCCCTCGTTCGCTCCTCCCCTCAATCCTCCCCCCGTCTCCCCCGCAGATAGGTGGCTCAACCTGGTGGGCGAGTTTGGAGCAGCCGTGGACAGCCTGGCCCTCCTTTATCACCCTCCCCCTCGCTCCTCCCCCCACTCCCCTCCCCCCCTCCCCCCCCAAGTGGGCGAGTTTGGAGCAGCCATGGTCAGGCTAGCGCCCACAGAGGAGCAGCAGCAGGCCTTCTCTCTCCCTCCCATTATCACTCTCCCCTTTCTTTCTCCCCCCGGAGATAGGGTGGTCCATCCTGGTGAGCGAGTTTGGAGCAGCTGCGGCCAGCCTGCCCTCAGCTCCCCCTCCTCCCTTTCTTCTATCTCAACTCAGCCTTCCCTCCCCCCCCCCCCCCCCTGCAGATAGGGCGGCCGATCCTGGTGGGCGAGTTTGGAGTGGCCATGGCCAGCCTAACGGCACAGAGCAGCAGCAGAAGGACTTCACTCTCGCTCAGATGCAGGCGCTGGGGCACGCGCAGGCGGGGTGGTTCTTCTGGTCCTGGAAACTCAATGTTACAGGTATGTAAGTCGAAATGGGGTGTGGATTAGACAGTAGAGTGCTTATATAAATTGCTGCGTGATCCCGGCTGCCATATTTTATATTCCGAAATGCAACCCCTTCATTTTTTTTTTTTTTTTTTTTTTTTTTAACGTTTTGTGTCTCTTTCGTTTATGCAGGCAAGGCCAAATGGCAATTTCCGCTGAGCATGGCCATGGGATGGTTACCCAAAAAAGACGATGGCAATTGGTACTAATTGCAGAGACCTTTTACTGTGATTCTAGAGTACCTGAATATGATTTTGAGACTCACGCATCACCAAGTGGGTAGCGTTGGCTAGTATATTAGCATTGTAGTGCTTCACATGTTGCATCGCTCGCCACCTTGCGCTGCCGAACCATGCCGCTCACTTGCCTGGCTGGTCGTTGTGGTGGTAACTATTGGTACACTGTGGTGCACCACATGCTCCGTGTAACAGTACCGATCCCGTGTCGCAAGTCCCACTCGTTTGTGAAGTGTGAATATTCGGGGGAATGCTACCCTTGTTCATTGATGCACGATTTACAGGTCATATGCGGGAGGTGCAACGACAATAAGCGCAAGTATTCGCGAATCGAGGGTAAACCACGGGCCAATGATTCGCTTAATGCGCTGAAAGATGCTTAGACGAATTTGCGATGTTCGAATATGACATGTACTTGTTCACAGGGGAGAAGTGTGCTGGAATATTTTTCGCTGGAACCCGTATTGCAGAATGAAAGAACGGAGTGTTCGGAGTGTTTATACTTCTCGCGCTCAAAGTGTCACATACGAACATGGAGTGGAAGCAAGAAATGGATTTTGGGGCCACCATAAGCGCAACAACCGAGAACTTACACCGGAAATTTTACCCGTACTGCCACTCTCCACAAATGCATTCGACGGGGTATTTGTGGTTCGCACCAAATGCGGCGGGGATGGCTGTAGGGCTGGAATGGCTTCGCATGCTCGCCGATTCCGTCGACGACAGCCTAATTTGACTTTCGCAAATCTGCACATACCTTGCGGCACGTTCGCCACAATCCACTAGTCCATCCCCACAACTCTTCGCCAGGTCCTTCGCCAGAACCTTTCGTCACATCCTTCACCACAATTATTTGTGATCAAATGTGTCCCCCCCCTCCCACCCTCATCGCTTTACCCGCCTCCCCTGTCCAGCCAGTGGGCTGGTCTCTCTTCCCACCCTGGCCCCACCTCCCTCTCCTGTCCCTCGTTTTGCCTTCGCCGCACAAATACCTCAACCGACCCCCCATCCACAACACCACCCACTCTTCCTTCCGCCCCCACTCTCGTTTATCTATCCTATTTCTTCACTCGTTCATACACCGAAACCTGTTTGTAGAGCTCTCAGATCGAAACCGCAGCCTCCAAACGGCCTCTCGTCCCGGTCGCACCAATCGAGGGTATTTTAATCTCTCGCTGACTCCCATCGGCGAGCTTTCACGAGCGCGGGCGACATGGGAGCGTCTCCTCCGCGAAATGCGTCGGCAGTCCCGCTGGTTCCGCTGCTGCTACTGATCGCCGCGGCGGCAATTGCGCAGGTTCGAGTGGCGGAGGCGGCGTGCGCCAAGGTGCGGAACGTGCTGGTCGTCGGCGCGGGCATCTCGGGGGTCTCCGCGGCGCGACACATCGCCGTCACCAACGGCGAGTGCTTCAAGGTGCGACGGCTTGGCGTCGCACGCACTGACTGCGACCTCCCAAAATACACAACGTCGTCGGCTTATTCCCGTCGTGCGACGATTGAGCACGACGTCGCCGACTCAAAAGGCACATCGCCGTCACCAACGGCGATGCCTTCAAGGTGCATTCTGCTGGGAGTCGCGTCGCGAGATGCCCGCGCCCACGCGATCGCGCTTGGAGATGTGCTCTAATCGGAATAAGATATTTTTCTTAGCTCTCAATAATCGCTGACCGCTTTCGTTCACGTGCAGCGAGCTCTTTGAATAGAGATTGCCTCGACGTGCGAGTCGCGATTCCGATCAAATATGCCCGCCTTCGCGGCGCGCAACCGCGGCGCGGCGGCCGCATGTGGAGCCGCGAGGTATCGCATTGCGTCGAATAAAAGACTTCCCGGATACATGTTATCGCTGACCTGCCCCATCGCCTAGCTCTACTCGCCGCGAGCCGCAAGTTAGCGCTACTAACTGCGAGCCCCTAGTTAGCTCTACTTACTCTTCCCCCGCACTCTTCGCAACCACCGCGAGCGCAGGTCTCTGTCCTCGAGGCGCGCAACCGTGTGCACCGCCGCGGGAGGCAGCAATCAACCCTTCCCCCACCAGCCATTCCCCCACCAACACTTGCCCGCACTAACGCCTCCCCCCCGCCAACCCCTCCGCGCGCCAAACCCGACAGGTGACGGTCCTCGAGGCGCGCAACCGCGTGGGCGGGCGCATGTGGAGCCGCACGGAGCCCGCGCCGGCCGCGGGCGTGGGCAGCGGCGGCGTGATTCGCGGCGAGATGGGCGCGCAGTGGATCCAGTCCGCCACGGGCAACCCGATCACGGCCCTTGCGCGCCGATTCAAGCTCAGGATCGGCGAGCAGAACGGCGAGGAGATCCAGTACAGGGCTAACGGGAAGACTTATAGCGGGTGGCAGATGAAGGTCGCGCGGGCGAAGTACGATTGGGCTTTAAAGCGCGCCAAGCAGATCGCGAGCGGGCAGGATAACGATATTTCGATGGAGACGGCGTTCCGTGCTGCGGGAAACTTTCTGAATCCGTACATCCAGGTATGTCGCGTGCGACGCACGCACATCCAGATATGTCGCGTGCGACGGACGTACATCCAGGTATGTCGCGTGCGACGCACGCACATCCAGGTATGTCGCGTGCGACGCACGTACATCCAGGTATGTCGCGTGCGACGGACGTACATCCAGGTATGCCGCGTGCGACGGACGTACATCCAGGTATGCCGCGTGCGACGGACGTACATCCAGGTACGGTGCGACGGCGTACATCCAGGTATGCCGGGTGCGACGGACGTACATCCAGGTATTTCGCGTGCGACGGACGTACATCCAGGTATGCCGCGTGCGACGGACGTACATCCAGGTATGTCGCGTGCGACGGACGCACGGTCGCTAGCACCTCTTGACTTTCTGAATCCGTGCATCCAGGTATGTCGCGTACGGTTTGAGAGTCGCACGCGCCTTTTGACTGTCGCAGGCGTCGTATGGTGCGCGCACGCGTCTCATGACAGTCGCACGCATTTTGCCCAACCCCCCCCCCACACCCTCCCTAACCTCATCCGTGGAATGCAAACCGTCCAGTAGAAAATCGCAGATATGATTTGATTCTGACTGATGTAGGAAGGCTCTCTTCCTTATTACCTACTCCCCTCCCCCCCGCCGCCGCTGCCCTTCACCCCTGTGAACCCTTTCCTACAGTCACGGGTGGCGGTGGATTTCGAGTTTGAGTATTCGGGTGACCTCTCAACCATCTCCGCCTGGTACTACGAGGATGATGCTTTCGACGGTCCTGATCTGGTGGTCACCAACGGCTATGATAACATTCCCAAGATGCTCATGAAGGTGTGAGGGAGAGAGAGGGTGGGAGTGTGTGCGAGAGTGTGAGTGTGTGTGCATGTGTGCCCAAGTGCACGTTTCTCCGTGTATGTGTGCATTTTCGATGGGCCTGATCTGATGGTTACCAGCGGCTATGATAGCATTCCCAAGCTGCTCATGAAGGTACATAGGAGAGAGTGTGGCAGTGTGTACGTGTGGGAGTGGGAGCGTGTGTGTGCGAGTGTGGGTGTGGGAGTGTGTGTGTGGGAGAGTGTCGGAGTATGCATGTGGGAGTGGGAGAGTGTGTGTGTGGGAGTGTGGTTGTGGGAGTGAGTGTGTGGGAGAGTGTGGAGTGTGCATGGGGGAGTATGAGTGTGTGTACATGCGTGCCCAAGACCACGTCTTTCTGTGTATGTGTGTGTTTTCAACGGTCCTGATCTGGTGGTTGCCAACAGTTAGACAACAGTCTTAGGATGCTCTTGAAGGTGTGAGAGAGACTGTGGGAGTGTGTGTTTACGAGTGTGCGTGTCGGGGTGCGAGTGTGGGAGTGGTGCGTGCATGCATGCTCTAGCGCATATCTCTATGTGTATATATGCTTGCAGCCATCTGATCTGGTGGTTACCAGCGGTTACTATCTGGCCCCCTTTCTCTCCCTCTCTCTGCCTGAAAGCAACCTTCACTCCCCCCTGCATCCCTCCCTCCCCTGTTTGACCCCCTCAACCTTTCAGGAAGCGACTGATGCTGGAGCACAGCTGGTGCCCCACTTTGAAGTCTATTCCCAGGCTGAGCCCAGGCGCCGTGCAGATCACTGGCACGGGCACCGGCACGGGCAGAAACACCAGCCCCCCTCCCCTCCCCCTCCTTGTTGGACCCCCCTCCCCCTTATAGGAAGCAACTGATGCCGGAGCACAGCTGGGCGCCACCCGCTCCTACTCCAGCGATGTTGCCATCATCACGCTCCCTCTCGGGGTGCCCATGGCGCGGCGCTCCCTCCTCCCCCCTGTACAAACCCTCCCCCCTCCCTCCCCCCGCCACCCCCATCCACTCTTCAGGAGGCAACTGATGCCGGGGCGCAGCTAGTACTGAATTTTGAGGTCACAGCCATCACTAGGCAGAGCTCGGGCGCAGAGCAGATCACTGGCAAGGACAGCAGCATGGGCATTGATACTCTTCTTCTTCCTCTCCCCGGTTCAACCCTTCCCTGCAGGAAGCAATTGACGCTGGAGCACAGCTAGTACTCAACTTTGAAGTGACCTCTGTCTCCAGGCTGGCCTCAGGAGCAGTGCAGATCACCGGCAAGGACACCAGCACAGGCGCCACCCGCTCCTACTCCGGTGATGTGGCCATCATCACGCTACCTCTTGGGGTGCTCAAGGCCGGTGTCATCTCCTTCTCGCCTGCTCTTTCTGCGCGAAAGCTAGGCGCGATCTCGCGTGTCGGGTTCGGGAACGTGAACAAGGTGTTCTTTTTCTATAATACTACCTTCTGGCCGACATGGTCGGATGAGTATTTTGTCGAGGATGCGCAGCTTCCGGGAAACCGCGGGCGGTGGGTGGATTGGGTGAACCTGAAGCGCGCTTATGGGATGACGGCATTGGAAGGTGTAGCTGTGGGTACTTGCGCGACTAGGATGGCGGAAATGACGGAGGCGCAGTGCATTGCCGATGCGGCTAACAAGATTAAAGTGATGTTTCCGAGGTATAGGGGTGCGAAGGTGCAGGCGGTGTGGTTGCAGCGGTGGAATCTGGACCCGTATGCGCGAGGGGCGTACAGCTATGGCAGGCTGGGGATGCAAGGAAATGGAGATGTCACCACGGATTTCAATAAGTTGGCCGAGCCTGAGCAAAACTTTTTGTTTGCTGGAGAGCATACGCATGGGTCGTATAGGGCAAGTGTCCATGGAGGGTATTTATCTGGGATTCGGGAGGCTAAACGAGTGCTTAGCTCGTACTAGGTTGTTAGTGTCAAACATACCGTATTCCCCTGGATATGTGCCCCTCCGTAGGTTAAGGCCTTTGGGCTTTATTCTGTGCATTGGGCCTTATAAATGTAAGAATTTGTAAAACGATGCAGGTACGACTTCATCACAACAATAAACAGTATTTCATTAAACGCCCCCCCCCTCGTTTTATGGAAACCTGTACCATATACGCCCCCCTGTTTTTCAAGGCCTATTACGTGATGCTTATTGTCAAAGTTAACGAATGACTAGAAAGGTGGGATACAATGGAATATAACCTAGTGGGTTGTACTCTCTCACGCACAACCATATGCAGTCTATAACAACATGCAAAGATGTGTTTGACACTTATTTCATTTTCATTACCATTATTACATTACACTTATGTCAAGATTATATAAGTTATATATAATTGATAGGCTTGATAGTTGTTACTGAACCTTTCTGTAGAGGGTACAATCCCCTCCTTGTACTCCTCTCTCTTCCTAATCGAACTCTCTTTTCTCTCGACACTCCTCGCCTTCCTTCTAGCTAAACCCCGCCGCCATTTTCATAGCGGCCTTCTTAGCTTCCTAGTGGCTGCCTACCTATGTGTCAAACATGTGTATCTCTTATGTTTGCATAGACTGTATAGGGTCATCTCTTAGAGGGTACAACACTTAGATATATTCACCTGTACTCTCTCTCTCTCTACAATCTATTCATTTCTGAGATGGTATCAGCAGTAGGTAGGTCCCCGCCCACCCACGCTTCCGCTCTAGGACCTACACTCCCGCCCTAGTCGCGCCCCGCGCGCCACCTCCCCTCGGCCCTAGCGCCCGTCCTAGCCGGCCCCGTGCCCGCCCTAGCGGCCCCTCGTGCCCGCCCTAGCGCCCCACGCTCGTGCCCACCCTAACGCTCCGCCCTAGCGGCCCCTCGCTCGTGCCCGCCCTAGCGCCCGTCCTAGCCAGCCCCGTGCCCGCCCTAGCGCCCCGCCCTAGCGGCCCCTCGTGCCCGCCCTCGCGCCCGCCCTAGAGCCCCCCCGCGCTCGCCCTAGCGGCCCCTCGTGCCCACCCTAGTGGCCCCCGCGCTCGCCCTCGCGGCCCCTCGTGCCTGCCCCAGTGCCCGCCCTAGCGGCCCCTCGTGCCCGCCCTCGCGACCGCCCTAGAGGCCCCCCGCGCTCGCCCTAGCGGCCCCTCGTGCCCGCCCTAGTGCCAGCCCTAGCGGCCCCCGCGCTCGCCCTAGAGGGCCCTTGTGCCCGCCCTAGCGCCCGCCCTAGCGGCCCCCGCGATCACCCTCACGGCCCCTCTTGCCCGCCCCAGCGCCCGCCCTAGCGGCCCCCGCGCTCACCCTCGCGGCCCCTGCGCCCGTCCTCGTCGGCCCCTGCGCCCGTCCCAGCCGGCCCCGCGCCCACCCTCGCGACCTCCGCGCCCGTCCGCTCGGCCCCTGCGCCCGTCCCAGCCGGCCATGCGCCCGTCCCAGCCGGCCCCGTGCCTGTCCCAGCCGACCCCGCGCCCGTCCCAGCCGGCCCCGCGCCCGTCCCGTCGGCCCTGCGCTCGTCCCGCCGGCCTGGTGCTCGCTGCTCCTGGCCCCTGCGCCCATCCTGCCCCGAGCTGTGTGCGGCCCGTTCGTCGTGCCTGCTCCGGTCCTGCGCCCTTCCTGGTACGGTTCCTCCCCCCCTGCACCGCCTTGCACCGCACGATACCGCGCTGCACCGCCCTGTACCGCACTCCACCGCGCTGCACCACACTGCACCACACTGTACCGACCTGTACAGTCCTGCACTGCTCCTGATGGCGGCGGAGCTTCGCTTCGACGCTGACGGCCAACCTTTGGAGTTCGAGGCGTGGCTCGCCGACCTCCGCCGCCACCTCACTGGCCAGCGGTAGGATGGCCACCCGCTTTCCGCACACCTTGACGGTATGCTCCCCTGTCCAGACCCCCCTGCTGTGCTGTCCGCTGACCCCACACCCACTGAGCGCGAGTCTACTGCAGCCGCTGCCCTTGCGCGCTCTGTCTGGCTTTCCCGAGACGCTGTCGCCCAACTTGCCATTAGCAATGCCCTTCCCCCGTCTGAGCGCCCTCGCTTTAGGTCCATCCCTACCGCCCAGGCTTTCTTAGATGCTGTCATCAAGCGCTATTCCACCCCTCCTGCTGCAACGGTGGGTCGTCTGATCCTTCCGATGCTCTTTCCTGACCTTGCGTCTTTCCCCACTGTCGCTGACCTAGCTGCCCACCTGCGCACGATAGATGAGACCTGGCGCACTGCCTGCACTGACGCACAGCTTCGAGCCCACCAGCCGCCCATTACCTCTACCCTCTACCTGCTTGCCACCCGCCTCCCTGACCGCCTTGCCGCCGCCCGCGACCGCTTCCTTAGCATTCACCCCGGTGAGCTCACCCTCACCGACTTTGTAGACACCCTGACTGTGATTGAGACCCGCCACCGCTCTATCGCCCATGCGAGCGGTACTGTGCCGGTCCCTATGTTTCAGGGTTGTGCCCCCGCTCAGTGTACCTTCTCCGACGGTTCTGCCGCTGTGGCTGAGACCGCTGCTGCAACGCTGTTCCATTCAAGGAAGGGCTGCCGCCCCAAGGCTGGGCGCGGCGGAGGAGGAGGGGGTGCAGGCAGGGGTGGTGGTGGAGTCGGGTCGTCTGGTACTGGAGCGGACGAGGGGACCCTGCCCAGATCAGCTGAGCAGCTGCCTCTGCAGCAGCAGCCGCAGCAGCCGCAGCAGTCGCAGCAGCTGCAGCAGCCGCAGCAGCCGCCGCAGACGAGGCAGGCGAGTGCCCTCCCGCCCGGGTGGCCTGGCGCTGGAGGTGGTCGTGCGCGTGGTGGTGTGCCGGGAGGTGGCTCGGGAGGCGTGCGTTGTTAGTACCAGATCCAGACCGGTCCTCGCCGCGGCTTCGTTTGCGGTAAGATCGGTCATACCACTCCTCACTGTTTTCGTCGCCTGTTTCGTCAGCGCTTCGGCCCGTCGCCAGACCTCCCGGAATGGCACAGTTTGCTTAGTCATAGGATTCACATTTTTGACATGGACTTGGATGCCATTGTTTCCGCTCTGCATGTGATGCATGCTGATGACTCTAGTGTGCTTCCCGCTTATTACTCATTGTCGTCTAGTGTAGGTGTGCCTAGCTTAGTCTCCCCTGCTGCGTCAGGCGTAGGATCCCCTACTTTGTTTAGCCTTGGTGCTTCCGCCGTCGCCCCGTTGCCGGACGCCACTGCTTCGCTTTCCTTCACCTTGGACTCTGGCGCTTCCCGGTGCTTCTTCCGCGACTTCACTACACTGACGCCGCTTCCTGTTCCTACTGCCGTTTCTCTTGCTGACCCCTCCGGCGGTCCGGTAGTCACCCGCAGTTCCACCACCCTTCCCTGTCCGGCGGTTCCTTCGGACTCCCTCACAGGTCTGCATATCCGCTCGTTCTCCAGGAACCTAGTTGGTGTCGGCTGCCTCCAGGACCTTGGCGTCACTACTACGTTCCCTGGTCACGAGCGGTATGCTGTCTGTACCGAGGCCGCCATTGGTGCCCCCCTGTCCACGTTCCCCCAGGACCCAGTGTCCGACCTCTTCATCCTGGACACCGTGACCCCCCCGGTGGCTGCGTCTACCCAGGTTGCTGCTGCCTGCTCCTGTCGGTCCCTCACTCACCCGACTCTCCTTTGGCACCACCGCCTAGGTCACCCTGCGCTCCCGCGTCTGCGTTACATGTCCCAGCACGGTCTCGTCCTTGGTCTCCCTGGTTCTCTCCCCGCTTTTCCCTCCTCCCCCGCCCCACCTTGCACGCCTTGTGTCGAGGGTCGGCTTTGCCGTGCCCCTCACTCCTCCTCCTTTCCCCCTACCGCCGCGCCGCTGCAGACCCTGCACATGGACGTCTGGGGCCGCGCCCCCGTCCATGGGCCGCGTCGAGAGCGCTACTTCCTCGTGCTCGTCGACGACTTCACTCGCTACACCACAGTCTTTCCCCTGGAGCGGAAGGCTGACGTGCCTGACGCTCTCATCCCCTGGCTTGTCTCTGCGCGTGTCCACCGAGGTCTCCCTGTCTTGCGTCTTCACTCCGACCGTGGTGGCGAGTTTGCCTCAGGTGTTCTTGGTCGCTTCTGTCGTGCGGAGGGCATCACCCAGACGTTCACCCTGCCGGACTCTCCACAGCAGAATGGGGTCGCTGAGTGACGCTTCGGCTTGGTCATGGAGGTTGCTCGCACCTCCATGATCCATGCCGGTGCACCCCATTTTCTGTGGCTGTTCGCCGTGCGCTACTCTTCTCACCAGCTTAACCGTGGCCGCACCCCCATCGGCTGCAGGTTTCGTCGACCCGTCTTTGGATCGGGTCACCTGGTGACGCGAGTGCGTTCCATGTCTGGGGCTGCCTTGCTCACGTTCGTGCCTCCGGCACGGACAAGCTCACTTCCCGCACCCTTCCCTGCGTCCTCCTAGGTTTTCCCCTTGACGCGTCCGACTGGCACTTCTACCACCCGCCGTCTCACCGCTTCTTTCACTCTTGCGACATCACCTTTGACGAGTCAGTCTCCTTCTACCGTTGCTTCCCCCACCGCGGTCCCCTGGTTACTCCCCCCCTGTTCCTGGTCACTCCTTCCCCGGTGGTCCCTGCCCCCCCCCTCCCCCTCCCTGTCCTGCCCCCTCTGGTGTGTCCCACGTCACTCCTCTCCCGTCGGTTGTCCCGGTTGAGGAGTCTTTTGACTCTGGTGGTTCTGCGGGGCAATCCACGCCGTCTGCCCCTCCCCAGGCGTCTCCTCCTCCACCGCCTCTGCAGCCGCCGTCGCCTCTGCTGTAACCGCCGTCGTCCCCGCAGCTGCCGCCGCCGGTGCCGCAGCCGTTCGTTGCCACTGGGGGTGCTGGCATTGGAGTGGGTCCTAGCCCTAGTGGCCTTGGGGGTGGTGCCGGTTCCCGAGGGGTTTCGGGCCCTGGGTGTGTTCCTTCTGGGGGTGCTGGAGTGGAGTCTGCCGGTGGTAGCCGAGGAGCAGCTTGCGGTCCCGGTGTCGGTGTTGTGCCGCCGCAGCAGCTGTCCCTGCCGGTGTCTGCCCTTCGCCTGCTCGGCCTTCTGTCCCCTGACCCTGCATCCGTTCCTCTTCTCCTGTCTCCTCCTCTTCCTGTCTACGG